TCCTGCAGGCAAAAGCCTAAATAATATTGTTTGTGCCTGGTAGAAGGTAAGGCAGATTTTGCTAATGTTTTTCTTCTGTGAAGAAAAAATTTATACATTTTTTTTGAAAATGTGAAGGCATCCCTTTGCATCCAGATGATCTGTTCTGAAAACAAGAGTTTTATAAATGAGAAACCTGACTTTGGGTCACTAATTGTATCAACACAGCATCTGAGAGACTGAAATAAAGCAAGAGCTATGCAGTGTTTATATAACTATCAGTACCCAGAGGACATTTCCAGACCCCATACCCTGAGATTTGGAGAACACTTGAAGGCTTGGACTGTGCTTTGCATTCAAGACACTCTTCTCTGTGTGCTTTGTAAGCAAGAACTCTGATAAGCTTTTTCCAGTTTTGGAAATTCAGACTGCATGAGAGTGGGCTGTGTTTACATTATAGTCAAGCTGGAATGGATCCAATATGATTTAATTTAAATGTCTTTGTTTTGGGTATAACTTTGAGTTATTTTTCAAATAGAAAGATCTTTCTTTTTAAACGCATGAAATGTTTTTTTGCCCCATTCTTGTTTGAATGTAGATAACTTTATAATTGACTTTAAGCTGGGAAACTTTCCAACAGAGTATAATTATTCTTTTCTTTTGTGCAATGTTTTTTATTAGTGCTATGAAGCTGGGCTGATGTCACAATACATAAAAACATGGAAAAAAGGAGACATGGTCTTTTGGCGTGGGCCGTTTGGAGGGTTCCCATATCGACCTAATAAGGTTAGTTCCCTAAGAGACATAGGATGTTTCAGCTTGCGGCAACTAGCTTTGTTTAATAGTCTAAAGGGAAGACATCAATTTGATTACTGTTTTCATTATTATTTTAGGGACTTCCTGGGTTACTGTACAGTGCTACAGCGTTAGCATTCAATTGGAGAAAATACACCTTATTGAACTGCAGAATATTTAAGAAAGAAGAGGAGAGGGAGGTGGATGGGAGACTGGAAGACATTAGCAAGGCTCTCTGTTCATCACTTGCATTAGAATTTCCTGATGTGTTTATCAAAGGGAGCTTATTTTGCACCAGCAGTGAGTTTTTGCCGTGTTTGAACCACATTGCTGTTTTGTGACTGAGCACGAGTGAAGGGAAGGTGTTGATCGCTTTCTCTCTTGGGTATTCCCTGAACTGTAGCAGCTCCAGTGAGGTGTCACCGCACCCAGCCACTCTGCAAATGCTGATCCCACCTGCTGATACCAGGCTTGCTGCAAAGAAAGGCAGATCCAGTTTCAGGGGAAGGCTTCTCACACATACTAATTCGGTTGCTTAATTCTGACCTTTCAAATGAGGAGCAAAATTGAAACATTGGTCATGAAGATCCCAAAGCCTTGTTTCCACCCTCCCCTCCCCGCCTCCCTCCAAAATAAGACTGTAAAATCCCAGTGGCTGAGCTTCATGCAGAGCAATTGTGTTCTGCTTCTTGAAATACTGGCCCTGCTGTTTTAGGCTACTGTTCCCTTCTCTTCTTAAAAGCTTCCAGATAATCATTTGGGACAGAACATGCCAGTCATGCCTAGAAGTGGCTACGTTCAGGGGCTGTTTGGGTGATCCATGTACATGCAGTTTGCAAAGCACCTAAGAAATCTTTAAAACAATTTGCTGTAGAAGAACTGTTTATTATTTAGGAATTATAATGCAGGTCCCGAATATTAGTTCCACAGTAAAATTTTCTTTTATCTCTATTTGCTGCCAGTAGAATAGGACTCTCATTCAGGCAGGTCAGATCCATTCATAAGAAATTGCTCAGTCAAAACAGACCACACGTAGCCTCTGAGAGCTTAATAGGGGCTTAAAGTCCCAGTTCCAGCATTGGTGCACTGGCTGGCAGCTGGGGAAAGTGCTGGGAACCTTCTGTGCTGCTGCGCACAGCACCTTACTGCCTGACCATCCCTATCGCGAGTAGAGTGAATGTCCCTCCTTGCAGACGGGAAGCACTATGTGCTGCTGGTAGCATTTTGAGACAAGTGAGATAATGCACCAGGAAGATACGTGAATCGGGATGGAGAAGAAACCATTTCCTCCAGACAACATTCAGGATTGTGCTTTGCAGCATCCAAGATAAACACAGGGATCATATCCAGTGGGAAAACAACACACACTGGGTCAGCAGAGTGTACTGCAGAACTGAAACCGAAATATAAATTAACTGAAATCAAGGCTAAAGTTAGGATAAATGTTTATATTTGGGTAAAGTGAAGTTTTGTTAGAGTTGATATATAAACCTGAAAGTGTTATCTGTAATCCTTTGCAGAAGAATACAGAGATTTGCATTTACCAGTTCATGACCTTCTGATATGAGGGGCCCTTTACCAGTGTGGCAGCAAGGAGGAACTGACAGTACATCTGTTTCCAGTCACCACAGCTCATTCAAAATTCTCTGTTTTGTTGATAGCATGGAGAACTCCTCATGCTGGCATCTGGTACCGGCCTCACACCAATGCTTCCCATCCTCCAGTCCATAACAGATGATGAAGAGGATGAAACCTTTGTAACTCTTGTTGGCTGCTTCCGTACCTTTGACAAAATTTATTTGAAACCTCTTCTCCAGGATCTGGCTCGATACTGGAACATCAGAATATTTTACGTCCTAAGCCAGGTAAATAAATGGATATGAAGCATGCTTGTGTGAGAGTTCTGGGTGCTGGATGAGCCTCTGCCACCTCTGTTTTTCTGTCAGCGTGATCTTAATTCTTTCCCAGTCATTGAGGGTATTTTGTGATCCAGTAGCTGCTCTTCTTAAATCTGCTGCATATTCACATGCTGCTACCAGTCTGGAGAATTTCAGGGAAGCAACCGCAAATAAACTATTTCTTCTTTCCTAATACTGGTGCCTTAATCTGTCCTTATCTTCCATTCATTGCTCATGACTAGAGCTCTCTTCGTCTAGTATGTTAGCACCAACTTCCCAGCAATTATTTTTCCCAGCTGACCCATTTTTAAACTTCTTAAAGTTGTTTCTCCCTCTGTAAAATTACTTTCTCTGCCAAATCCATGGGATGAGGGCATACCTCTCAGTGGTCTTACGTTTCAAGCAGTCTTTTTCATTTCCATTTGGTCCCAAAGTTGCCTGTGTTCTGCACAGATTTGGTACTTGAAAATTATTTCCCTCAGAAATGAGGATTCATTGCAGGGAGGATATAGAAAGAATTATTTATGCTAAGGGAATGAATCCCATTGCATTTTTAGTTTCTCAGATGAATAATTTTTTGTATCTCTCATGGTGGATCTGCCTCATACATTATGTTCCACATATGGCTTCAGCAAGTTGAGATTGGGTATAAGAGAAAAGTACTTGTGATTTAGGCACCCCCTCAGCTACTTTATAAGAATGTAACCAGTAATTGTCTCTGGTGACATAGCTTAAATACCCTTTTCAGGACAGTGCTGTCTTAAGAGTGTGAGGAGGTCTTCAATCAGTGAAGGGCCAGAAACCCACCTGACCCCTGTGAACAGTGTCTGCCCCACATGAGTGTCTCTCCCTTCCTTCTCTTCCCTTAGCAGGTTTGTTGTAGTCCAGCACTGACTCATGCATCCTCCCTTTTAGGCTTGTGTATATTTCTGTCTCAGAATTTCGCTCTGCTGCCTGTCACCACCACATCTGAGCACCTTCTGCTTCTAATTAATAGCAGTAGGGGAGTCCCCACTGGATCTAACGCTATGGGATCAGAGCTGTGTCTGGAGCAGGGCTGGCTTCTTTGTTTTGATTAAGGGAAATGGGACTGAAAGAGACTTGGGAATGGAAGAGGCAATAGAGAGGAGTAGACTTGGGATTTCAGACTTGGGAATAGAAAAGGCACGATGGGAAGTGTTTCTCAAAAGAGAAGGTTCCACGGTGTTTCTTGGCAATAGTTACGCTCTGGTTTTGTTCAGTCTGCTTCAAGTGAGTGGTTGGGTCTTGTGACCAGGAAAGATTTGATCTGGGCTTTGGAAGAGGAACATAGCTGTCGGGATGGGTCAGTTCTACCCAGATGGAGTCACAAGGGTGACAGACATCCTGTGCAGTACTCTGGGTGGAAGAGGGAGATTTGGCTATAAGCAATCAGTTGTCCTTTTTAACATGGCACACTGCAAACCTTTTGTCTTTTCAGGAGACTTCACTGGAAAAACTTCCTTGGAGCTATCAGGAAAACACATACACTGGTCGTCTCAGTGAAGACTTGATGAAGATGATAGTAAATTCCTGTCGAAGAAAGCCCTTTGTATTAATCTGTGGCTCTTCTGCATTCAATGACGATATGAGTAGATATTTGAAAGCTGCGGGAATTGAAGAAAATTCTTGTTTTGTCTTTTAGCAGGATATTCCTGACCTAAGGAATCTTAGGCTGAGACTTGGATGTCGTTGTTTCTCTGCAGACATTGCTCAAATTCAGTCATCTGCATAGATTGAGTTCCTTGCCCATAAACTTTCATAGGCCTTTGGATCAAATACTTGTCTCCTGTATAATTCTCACTCTTGAGAGTGTTTCAAGGATCAGGTGCCACTCCAGAGTGGCTCCTGTGATCACCCCCGCCTCAGGGAACAGCATGGTAATGTTAATGGAAGTCTTCACATGCAATTTTAAGAGATCTCCTAATGGTACTAAAAAGCATCCAAGTGCACAGCTCTGCTGTAGTATGAAGATCAGTGACTTGCTTTGCAATCCATGTTAGTCTGCAGTGGTATTGTGCCCTGTTAGATGTCCAGAGGAGACATTTAATCCTTGAGGAGGAGACAGCGCAGCCAAAGGAAGAGCAGAGCACTGGGCCGGCACTCTGGAGTTCACGGAGTTCATTTTGGTTGTGTCATTGTCTTGCTGGGTGATGCCAGGCAAGTCACGTCAACTTCTCTGTGCCTCAGTTGCCCCATTATATGCTAACACAGAAAAAAAAGGTACTGTTCTCCTCTGAAAAGAGCCTTTCCAACTACATACAGAAGGAGCTATGCGTGGGGATGGAATTATACATGATGCCCACTGAGGACTTAGGCAGGCAGCACAGCCTGCATTGCCTGCCCTGATCCTTAACCCTTGTAATGCTGCCTGGGGCGAGAAAGAGCAAGTCCTAAAACTCTGTGTGAGAAAGCATCTGGGGTGGAGCTGCTGTCTGCTGGGGAGGATGGTTGTTTGCTTTACGTGTCCCCTAAGTGTTGTGTAAGAGCCCTGGTTCATTAAATGGAACCTCTCTTCAAATGAACAGCTGTTTATTTTTGTCACAGGACTCTCCCAGGTGCCCAAGGGGGTACCCTGAGTGTACAAAAACACACCCTGAGGAGTGAAGGCTTCATGGGGCTTTGCTGGGGCGCTCCACCACAGGGCAGGGGGCAGAGCCAAGGGCCTGCCCCAGGGGATGGCAGCCCTGTGGCTGCCCTGGCACAGCACCCAACCTGGGCGCCCTGGCCTCTTCCTCCTCTTTCAGTTCAAGATGCTGCTGCCTTTCATCTGAGCTATCCACTGTCTGCCCTTTTACCTTCTTAGACCAGTGTGTTTACTAACTACGCCTGGAAGTAGAGCCTTTCTGCACACCTTTGTGTTTTTCCATTTATTCCCAGTGTATCCTGTGTTGGGGTTTCCCAGGCTGTGACAGATGATGTTGCATTATCATTCCTGTGTCATTTTTTACCTGTATCAAATAGTACACCTTATGCAAAGGAGACAAAGTTTAAGAGTTACTCAAAATAAGCAGTGTGCGCTGAACTGATGGCTCTGAGTCACGTGTTGGGAGGAAGCGTAGGTTCCCCTCGCATCAGTGAGATCTGTCTCCAGTTACCAAATGCCTGGAATTAATCCAGTGTAGCTGCAGCCTTTACGTTAACTTCATTGGAGCAAGGGCTGGCTGACAAGAAAGCCATCTTCGTAATCCAAAGTAGGGTTCTGGCTTTTAGTGCAGAGAGGTCCAGGGCAAGGTGTCCATGGTAGGTCCAAGGCAAGCTCTCTACCCCCATCCAAACCGTGCTTCAGCCACCATAAGCCATTGGTGTAGCAGAGCTGCTTCTGCGCAGCACAGGGCTGATAAAATAAGGAGCTGCTTTCACTGGTCGCTCTCCTTACTTTGGCCTTAGCTAGGGAAATGGAGAAAATATTTTCCTTGGATATTACATGCCCTGGAAACCTTACTTATATACCTCTTGCTTTAAATATTCTGTCTTTTTCAGATTTTGCTGAAAATCCACCCAGCCTTTTTGCAAAGAGCTGAGGTAAAACTTCATGCTCGCTTTCAGAAAAGCGACGACTTTCTGCGTGAAAGCTGGGACTGTTCCTTTAAACGCAACCCCAATATGTCTGGGTATTTCAGCACATATGGGCCATGATGGTTAAACCTCACCCAGCTGGTCCGGCCGTTCTGCTGCGAAGCCACCCGTCTTTGTTCGTGGCTGAAAGGGAGGGTGGTGAGAGACGGAGCAAGCTGTGAATGCTGCGGGTTGCAATCCTGCAAGGGCAGGCTGCAGGCAGAGCGGGAGGAGGTGATGCCTGCGGAACCGGCAGCCCGGCTTGCCGCGCCGGAGGGGACAGGGGTCTTTGCGAGACATTCTCCATGGGGGAGATGATGTCCTTGGAAGTATGAACTCGAAGGGGCCTTCTAACTGCCCGTGGGCACTTTGTTCTCCATTTTCTGCCCTTTTCTCCCTTCCCCCTCCTGCCTTTTGTCATTTCTCTGGCTGGCTCTCACACGAGTCCCCTCTTCCCAACCTGTCCCCTGTGGGGACAGCCCCTTCCAGAGGCTTGCCTGGTGCTCCTGCAAAGCAGGGAGGTAGGATGGAAAGGCTCTGGGGCAGGATTTTCCCAACCGAGTGAAGATGAGAGGTTTGCTTCCCTCTGGAGGCCTGGGAACTACCCCATGGTGGCAGTTTTATAGGGAAATGGTGGCGATGCTGTCTGTTATTGGTGGCTCTGTGGAGCTGGAGGTGCGTGAGCTCCCTTTGGGGGTGGATGGCCACTGCCAGGCCTGGGCTGGGGCTTGCACCCTGTCTCTCCTGCTGGGCAGAGGGTGCCAGCAGGATGTTCCGGTGCTCTGGCTGCCCCCCAGGGAGCTCCTGCCGCCCATGCAGCGCTGTGCCGGGGAGAGGAGCTTCGCTGTGCTTCCTTTCTTCTTCCTCATGTGCAGCCTAAATACCTTCTTAATTTCATCTCATTATTTCCTGCCTAAATAATTCCTGTTTCTCCTGGGCACTGTATTTAAACCTTTGATCTTCTCTGAAGTCTCACAGTCCTGATCACATCCTTTCTATTTAAATGAATCAAATGCCTTTTTGACTCATGATTTATAAATTTTCCCACAGAGGAATAGAGGCAGCCCTGATAACGGCACACCTCGAAATCACCCACTGTGTCTCTAGGCGAAGCATGCTGGGCTGATCCAGAGCACCTCCGGCCAGGCCTCCACGCAGAGGGGCCTGCCTGGCTCCTCTGCCTGCTCCCTGCAGCATCTCGTCCTCCCCCTGCCTCCCCCCGCCCGGCTAGCAGCGTTGCCTGGGCTTGGGCCCAGCCAGGGAATGGCCATCCCCAGGTCAGGAGAGGGTGAACATGCCGGCGGTTGATGGATGCCGTCTCCCGGGAGAGGGGCACAGCTGCTGTGCCGCACAGCCCCAGCCCCCCATCTCCTGGGGGTATCGCTGATGCACGGCACGAAGTGGGACCATGGAGCGCAGCTGGAGGGATGGAAAAGAGCAGCCACGTAGGTACTGGTGTCCCGGACGCTGGCTCCGTGCTGGGAGATGCCTTGGCCCTGAGGCTGGCAGGGGAAGGGCTGGAGGATGGTGGGTGTTGCTGGAGATGGATGCGGTGAGGATGAACATGTTCCTCTGTCATGCAGCAAGGGAGAAGTCGGGGAGCACGTTGTCCCTGAGCCTGGGGGATCATGGCAGGGAGGGCTGAGCACTCCTCCTGGCTGAGCTAGGGCTGTGGTATGGAAATACCCAGGAGAGGCCCCTGCACCACGGCTGTGGTGCCAGACCTCACCTGCCTCTCTGCTGCGGGTGCTGGCCCTGCGTGTGTTGTACAAGGCACAGGGACAGGCCTTCTCTCCAAGCTCGGTAGGGAAGCAGCTAATTAAGCTCTGCAGCGTCCCTGAGAGGTCAGCAGGAGATGTGCCAGCGTCGCAGCCATCTCCCGGAGCCTGCCCCAGAGCAGGAGCTTTGTGCTGTGCCCCGGGGCAGGGAGGGCTGCCTTCCATTGCCTCGTTCGAACATGCACTTACTCCTGGTGCTTGTGGGGTGACATGGTGCCCTACGCCCCAGGACAGACACCCCGATGTCCCCCGCCTCAGCTGGGCTCAGGAAGAGGGCTCCTGCTGGGATGCCCTAGTGCTCCACCAGCCCTCGGCATGGCTCCAGTGAGGCCGAGCAGTGGGGAGAAAGCCTGTACAAATATTATTGTTGTTATTATTACCCATAAATATATACAGGCACTTAACGACCTTGGCATGGAGCATTTCCTGGGGATTAATGACCAGTTGGCGTTAATGGTCCTTAGCTGCACCTCGGGCCATCAGCTCCTCCCAGCCCATCATTAATCCACAGGAAATGTCTCAGGCATCGATCCTCATTGCTTAATTAATAAATGCAACTTGTCTCCCTGCCTGAGATTTACAGATACGCGCTGCTTCTTTCCCTGCTGCTTTGAAGGTGACTTTTTTAGCGCAGGTCCCTCACGCCGGGAGGCCCTCATGGGTTTTTGTTTCCTGGCATTCATCTGGGTGTGGGTCATGGCAGCAGGAAAGTCTTTTTCTCTCCCGGACAGGAGGGAAGGAACTGAAACACTGCTGCGTTTGGGGTTTCTCCAGCACTAGGAGCACATCTTTCCCACCAAATGCAAAGGCTTGATTACCTTCAGCTGAGTGCATGCAAGAGCCTGAGCGAAAAGGAGTGTGAGCCAGCATGGAAGAACACAGAACTCTCCAAGGCCTTAGCAGGTTCTATAATAATCAATGTTTTTTGCCCATGAGTCACAATTCATCTCTAATCTTCCTTGAGGGAGGTGGGATTTGCTATCTTTAGTGTTTGTGGCTGCCGCTTTCCTGGGCTGAGCATCCCGCTGAGCCCGGGCACTCGCTGCAGGGATGCTGACCTGGCGGCTGACGTGGAGACGTGGCTGCGTTTAAATCCTGTTCCCTGTTTCTCTAGCCTTTACCACCGGTTGGCTTTGTGCAGGGGGTGCCGCAGTATAAATCACGTTAATTCCTGAGATGCTTTTCCGTGGTAAGTCTGAAATTCCCATTTTGGTTCGCTGGCTTGCCTGGCGAACTAAATTATTTTCATAGCCCCTTAAGGGCATATTGTCAGCCCAGACTTACTGCTGTTATACACCATATCTGAAGCATTGATATCGCTTCTAAATATAGTGTATTGACAAGGTATCTGGTATAGTGTAAATCCTTGGGACATTTGATCCAGATCATTAAAACTGAGTGAAGGAAGGGAGGAATAGATCAAGTTACCTTGCCGCTCTTAATTCAAACAAGCAATGAATTATTCATTCTGCTATTAATTCTACAGTGCTCCTGCTTTTTATTTATTTCTCTCTTTATTTATTTTTTTCCTCCCAGATAGACAGCTCCGAAAGGATGCTTGGGTGCCGGTGAGGGAGGATTTGCCTGCCGGAGGATGGGGTGCGTGGGGGCGGGCTGCCTGGCAGCGCTGGCCATGCTGTGCGGGGCTCTCGGGGATGCTCCCAGCAGAGGTAAGAGCCTGGTCCCAGCTCCGAGTGGGGACCCGGGGGCTGATGGGCATCCGTGGCCTCCGGGGAGGAGAGGGCAGTTTGCGGGTGCTGCAGTGGCTCTGGGGTGCAAGTGGGTCCCAGCTCTCAGCCCATGCAAGGAGAGCAGCTCACTCAGACCAGGGCGCCCCTGGCTTGGCCTGGGGAAAGGAGCCAGGATCTGCAGTCGCTGTGTGTGGCAGCAAGTATGGGACACTGCAGCGCGCTTGAGTTTCTGCTTCATGCCTATTTTACTGAATATCACAGGTAGGGGTTGTCCTGTTGTGGTGTCCATGTGCTTTGCTGAAGCCTTTGTTAAATTCTGGAGTTGCACATGCCTATATAAATATATATATATACACACATACATATTTATGAGTGTATGTATGCATGTGTATGTTGCTGTGCATGTAATAAACCCCTCACCTTACCTGGATAAAATGCTTCCCTGGGATGCAGGGCAGGGGTTAGCAGACAACACATTAATTTGGGGGGCATGGTGGGCCAGGACAGCCCAGTAACTTGG